CACACTCCCCCGCCCATGTGTGTGTGTTTTGCGCAGCCAGCCTGCGAAAGCTGCAAATCTGCAATATGGGGAAAGAAAACAACCCAAATGAAATGCCTGAAAAATCGGGACAGCGCTCGAACTTGTCCAAGCTCGCCAGTTCTCGAAAGAGGTCCGGCGTGCTCGCTTCAAGGTCTGTCGCTCGCACAGCAACTCCAACGGAAAACGGACCTATGAAACAACAGGCTGGGAAAACATTTCGGAGAGCTCTCGTTTTTCAACCGGGATCAGTCGCGAATGAACCGCGCCATCTAACTGGCCGGTAAACCTTTTCAAGATTTTTACGCAGAGGAGAGGACGACGTGTGCTAAGCCGTCGCAAACAAATGGATTCTTGCGCTTTCATTTGGGAGAAAGTTGTTTGTGAAAGGAGCGCTCATTGAAATGAATCCCTTCAGCCGGATTCGTCAAATGGCTTCCGTCGGGCTCGGGCAGTGGGGCGGGGGTCGGCGAACAAAAAACAACACCTTGAAATGACACGCTCCAAAATTTGGCAAAGCGAATCGAACGCGACAATGTGGAGGCCCCGAAAATTTCAAGGCCGAAGCGCCTCATTTCAGCGCCGCAAAGTCCTTTAGCTCAACGCTAAGACATAGCGCGGATTGCCGCGGACGGCCGAGCGGCGATGAGCGCTCAAGTTTGAAGCGGCCGCGCGCACGGAACCCCGCGCGTTACCTCGACATTCGTCGGGGACCTTCTCGGCCCCCGCTCGCGGAGAACTCCGCTGCGGCGACATCGCGCCGAGCGCAGCGCTGCCCGAAACGTTGCGGCAGAAGACGGCACGACACCCGCGGTGCGCGACTGCGACCAAATCCGGAGCCGAGAGAAAGTCAAATGGGCCCGACGCGGATCGAGCGCAAATGCGGGAACATTTCGAGACCTGGCAAAAGAGAACTTGGGACCGATTGACTGCCACGCCGAGCATCAAGACGAAGCCTGACCACCTCTCATCTTCCTCCTCCTCTTCCTCCTCCTCCCCGGCGCCGCCGCCGAGAAGTAGAAGGTCACCTCCGAGAGGGACAATATTCATTCTGACAGTCAAGCAAAAGGTCTTCGCCGGCCGCCAGCACACGCACGCGCGCACACAAACCTGAACACGACTTCGGAAGCACGGCAAAGGTGTGTGTGTGTGTGTGTGTGTGTGTGTGGCCTGGAGCTCCCTCACAGTGCTGCACTAATGCAAACTCGCCGCAAGGCAGACCTGAGGGGCACTTAGTGGGGCCCCTCCCTTACTGTCCTCACCTGCATAAGAGCACGTGTGTGTGTGTGCGTGTGTGCGTACGAACGTCCGCAAAGAACTCGGACACATGGACAAAGATGGAAACCAAGATGGTGAAAATAATTGCTCCCATACACATACACAAATATCAACGTATTAATATAGGTTACAGAGAAGCTTCTGCAGTGTGTGTGTGTGTGTGTGTGTGTATATGAGAGAGAGAGCCAGAGAGAGAGAGAGGGGTGGCTTGATGAGCCTGTGTGCGTGTGAGTTAGCTGGCAGCGTTTTCCAATAATTAGCATCATTATGATGCTATCTTACTAATACGGTCCTTTTAGATTTGATATCGTGTTTTTTGTCTCACACTGACATGGACAGATGGTGTGTGTGTGTGTGTGTGTGTGTGTGTGTGTGTGTGTGCGTGCGTATGTGTGTATGTGTGTTTGTATATCAAACTCTGAAGTGTACTGATACGCAAACAAGAATCATCAAACCTGCTGAACACACAACAGGCAGATTATACTGACGACACACACACACACACAGACACACACACACTAATCCCCATCTCATTAGTTCTGTCTGACACGCACGCACACACGCACGCACGCATCTTCAAACAATAATCCTTTGAATATGATCTGGGATTTGGGCCACAACACTAATCAGACTGACATCTCAGAACAGGGATTAAAAACCCCACACAGGACACATGCACACGCACACACACACACACACACACACACACACACACACACACACACACACACACACACACACACCGGTAATCTTGTGAAGACATGCAAACTGTTTTGGTAATCTCATGTCAAAGACATTATTTGCTTCCATTTTGTCGTCACGGATGCGCAGCGTCACCAGCGAGAGGTCACGCGCCACATTTCCTTCCTTGTGTTTGGCGGTCATCGCCAAGGTGCGACGCTCCGGTTCGCCGGCCGACCGGCCCGAGGTGTCCTCGGACACGACGCCGCCGGCCGGGCCGGCCGTCGCCGATGCCGACGTGGAGGCAACCCAACATTTGGGTGGCAAAAAAAAAAAAGCCCACCAAAGAGGTCAACAAACAAAGAGGCCACCGACCCTCTTCGGCTCAAGTCAAAGGACCTCTGCAAAAAAAAAAAAAAGGCAAAGGCGCAGGCTTGTAGCAGACGGTCCACTTCTTGACTTTCACTTTCAAGTCCAAAATGAGAAGTTCCCCGTTTTGGTCGTAACTTTGCGCATTCATTTCATGGAAATATTGTTTGTTGTCCTTTTCGAATGCTTTTTTTTTTTTTTTCCCGAATGTGGTTCTTCGTCAGAAAAGTCTTCATCTCGGAGAGCCGCGAATCGACTTGAATTGGGCGCTCGCTCAGACAAAGAGCTGCGGCCACGCGTTGTCGCCGCCGCTGGCTCCGTAGTCAACAACAAAACTTGGCTTAATGAAGCAACCGACAGACATTAAGAAAAAAAAAAAAGGCCACATGAGCTCATGTTGACACTCGAGAGAGAAAGAGACCGACGGGGGGGTTTCAGAGCCACACCAAACCAATGATTTCTTGGTTAGTGTTGGATCGATCAGATTTGCTCCATGTACAACACGCTTTGGATACAGCGCTGCTTGTTTGAAAGTGCTCGAGAAATACACTTGAGTTGAGTTTGCAACAAAAAGGAAAACGCCCGCCCGCCCACACACACACACACACACACACACACACACACACACCCACAAGCTTCATTAAAATCCTGACGAGACAAAACAAAAAGCTGACCCTACTGCACCTGAACGCACGCACACACACACACACACACACACACTTTCAAGGTGAAAATATGGAGTCCTGACTCAGCGGCAGCATGAAGTGGACACATCAGGTCACTAGGGAGTGTGCGTGCGTGCGTGCGTGCGTATCATTCTGCAGTTTCTGTGATTCTGACATGGCCATTAGAAGCCATCTTTGACGTCACGTGAGCTCATGATATGAAAACGACTCTTTTGTATGCAAGCAGGAGATCATGACTCTTTGTCGATCGTGTCAATTCAACAGCATGCAAATGAATGCGTGCGTGTGCTATTTGTGTATGTATGCCCGTTGGCGAACCCTCCTCGCCGTTGCCCGCTGTGACGTCACAGCGGGCAAATGTGCACAACACGCTTTGGCTTTGTTTTCCTGCCACTTTGGAACGGTAGAAGCCTGCGGTGAGCTCGTAGCTCGGCACCGTCGTTGTCGTCACGTCACGGTGACCAAAGCTGTATGGAAGCGCGAGGGGCGCCTCATTTGCAAGGTAAGAGCGCCCCCTCAAAACGGGCCGCTTTCAGCGGGTTGAAGATGGAGCTGCCGAGTGGGCTCTCACACACATTTGGAACCCCTTCAAGAAGGCTGAGCCTCGTTTCGCACAAAAGGCATGGGGGACTTCGCTCGGCGTAGGCAACCAAACGTGTTTGCATCGCAGCGCGCGCGCGCACACAAACTCATTTCTTGACAGGAATAAGAGCAACTGTCATATAAAAGATGGCTTCCGTCCATTCATTGATTGATTGATAATTGACCCGCGGCACACACTGGATTCTGGCCGACTTGGAGCACCGCAAGCAAGCTCACAAAATTGGTATTGGTTGGCCTCCCGTTGGCCACGCGCATACGAGAGACCAAAACGAACCCGCGCGTCGGTCGGGATGGCAGGATTTGAAAAGGCCGGGTTCCGCTCAGCGCTCCGAGTGGCCGTCCGTGATCACGCTCTCATCTTTTCCTGCGGGGCACCGTACCATCGGCCGCTTGCCCAGATCCATACGATGGCCGCCACTTGGAAGTTAATGATGGGGGGGGGCAGTTCCACACATAGGCGGAAGACCGGATAGCAACTCCGCTAACATGGATGCCTCATTGCCGTGTCCATTCAAGCATATTGTTATCAAAGAAAGAAAGAACGCCCAGCCACCGCTCTGCTCGGAAAATAGCCACCATTGATGAGACAATGTGACTTACGAAGAAGGCAAACGGAAGAGTGATTGAGTTTCTACATGTGGCAAATTTTCCACATCGTGTTTCCAAATGGACTGTGTTCAAAGGAGATCTCAAAAAAGGACACTTTACAGCTGTTATTTGAATGAATACACCGCAATATTTCTCACATTGCCCCCCCCCACACACACACACACACCCACGATTGTGAACACAACACACAAACACGAGCACAAGCGTTCGTCAGAACGGCGCACACCGTGCAGGCAAATCCGAAAATATGCACGCACGCACACAAACTTAAAAAGGACATCTCGCGCGCGCGCGCACACGCGCAATCACGCGGAAACACTCGAGACAAAACGAGCTGAAAATAGGCAACGAAAAGAAGAAGAAAAGCACCAAGATGTCAAGACGGGCTAAAAAAAAACCCCCAAAACACAACAACCCCCCCCCCCCAAAAAAAAAGAATCGAAACAGAGCAGAGTGCAAGCAGGGGAATGTTGGAAGAGAAGGGAGGAGATTTCCACATGGAAAGTTGGACGCCGACACACATTCGCGCGCACCCCCATCTCCCCCCGCTCCGCCCAGGCGACCCAACCCGCCAGCCCGGGTCCAAGTCCGGCTCGTGTTGCAATTAGCGCAGTTGCACAGTTGTTTGTCGCCTACCTGCGATGGCTGCCGTCACGTGGAGCGACAAGAGCAACAAAGTTGACGCGTCCATCTTCTTCTTCTTCGGTTCCAGACGCAAAGTGTTGTCGGCACTTTTTCTTCTCTCCTCCTTTTCCTCGCCGTCCGTTACGCACACGCGCGCGAGCCCGCTCTCACGTGCGCGAGCCCGCTCGCTCGCCCCTTCTTTCCGTCGCCGAGCCGGGAGGGGGCCGGCGTTGTGACGTCACGCGGGAGGGGAAGTTCAGGGTGGGCGCTCGACGATTCCCGTCAACTTGTTTGAAGAACGAAAGAGCAAGCTGACGTCATCCTCCCGCTGAGATTGCGCCCAGGAAAGGCGACGGCGCGCGGGGCGTGTCGACGAACCTTCGTCGGCGGTGATTAGCGGCGGGTCCGTCGTCAAAGCGCCTCTGTGCGGACGACTCACAAAGTCTCCTTTGACGCCGGCGCTCGCGGCCGCTCGGCGGCGCCCCCTGCCGGACGTCGCGCCGCGACGCCCTCGCGCGCGCACTTTTTGAACTCACGTCCCGTCGGCACCCGAGAGGAGGAGGAATTCTCCCAAGTTTTGGGCTCTTCGTCGCGCGCGTTTATTCGCCGACTGTCTTGAGAGCCGAGCGCCTTGGGACTTGATTTCAAAAGATTCAATCAAACAAGAAGAAGAAAGCCTTTCCGTCAGTGCAGTGGGATTTGGGTTGTTTTCTCCAACCAAATTGCGCGCGGGGGTGCGACGGAAAGCATCGGAAACAAATGACAGCGAATCAAACTCACGAGCCAAGAAAGTATCGCTCGCTGACGCGTCCTCTTCCCACTAACAACGTGGTTGCGAACAAAGATGATTTGCTCCGTTTAGCAACTTGCGTTCGTTCCTGTGCGCGTGACGACTTTTCCAAAACAGAGCTCGGCGAGCGCGTGCGCGTGCGCGTGCGTCTGGTCTGGAGCAGCGTCCTGATGCGGCAGCTCCCCCGCGCGGACAAGCCACGAAAATGCAGCGGAAAGCTGTTGCATGGTCGACGCGTCTGTTCAACGATTCCAAGTTGTCACTCGAGTGTGTCAGTCAGTCGGTCGGTCGTCTCGGTCAAGCGTGTGCGTGCGTCTATGTACGTGTGTGTGTGCGCGCGTACTACTGTGTGGCTACTCATTTTTCACACTCCCTGTCCATTTTCAAAGCTCATCTTCAAAGCCATTTTTACTCGACGGATTTTGACTCGCCATTGTTTTAGTGTTTTGTGGTCTCAACTGTTTCCATCTTCTGCATTTCCTGTTTGTTCCCTTAGTCGTGGTCCTTGTTATTTCTCGTCGTCGTTGTTGTTGCACGACTCATTTTGACTCCATGTCCGGCGCTTTGCGAGTCGCCGATGGCGCGTGGCGGTCCACTCGCCTGACTCGTGTGCGGGTGGCGCGCCGGGATGGGTTCCCGCTAGGGCGGCCGCCGTGCCGACGCGGGTGCCAATGATTGTTGGTCTCTGCTACTGAGTGGCAACCAGTTCAGGGCCAAGTCCGCCTTTGGCCCAAAGTCAGCTGCGATGGGCTTCGGCGCTGACGGAAAGCCACGCCGTTGGAAATCGCTCGTCCGCCACTTTGCATGCGGCAACGGCTCTTTTCAAGCGCGCGATGACGAGCGACACAACTCAACAAGCGCCGTCATTGCGTTCTCAAGTCGGCTTGGGAAATGGCGCGGTTGCCGTAGCGCCGGAAGGCGACGTCCCGCCTGAGCGCAGACTGGCTGCGATAAATCTATTTGTTGTCGCTGTTGTTGTTGTTCAAATGTATTCGGATTGAAAATGAGAAGATGGCTTGAAAAGGAAATGCAGTCAATCAAGAAACAACGCGCAGCGAGTTGATGGGAGGAAGAGCTCTGGTGGGAGATCCGGGGAAAGTCAAGGCCACTTGGAAAGATGAAGACGCGCCTTCATCCGCGCTCATCAAGCGGCGCCGTTGTCGTGGGGGGGGCTCAGCTGTCGGGAAGCCGCCGCCGCCGCTCTCGGCCGGCCGCGCGGCCCTTTTACGACGCGAGCCGCCGCAGCACTTGAGCTCGGGCTGCCTTTCATCAGGACTTCTCGCCAACGTGGCCGCCACCTGCTCACCTCCACATCCGAACCACTCGACAGGCTTTCATCTTATGGCCGCAAAGCAAACTTTCTCCCGATGAGGGCGCGCGCATTCGTGCGAGCCGCTCTCCCCTTCGGGGTCGGAGGAGCTCGTTTGGGCAGGGCCGGCCGGCCTCGTTCGCCACGGACGTATGCGAACGAGGGCGCCCCGAAGGCATTGTTCTCCGAAAAAAAGAAAAAGGCGAGAAGAAGGCCGGCACCGCGCCGCCTCGGCCTTCGCGGTCTCAACGCCCTCGTGGGTCAAAGCGTTGGGAAAGGCCGACGTCGCCTCGCGCTTTCCCATCGGAGACGAGGAGACGCCCGAACAAAAGTTCCAGCGGGAGGGCGCGGCCCTTCGCTCACGCGAGCGTTCAGCGAGCCGCGTCGCTCGCATTCCTGATGCGGGTCGGCGAGCGTGACACGCACGTTATCCATCATGTGACGCGCCGCTGTCTGCAACGCACGCAGGTGAGTTCACGACGTGACATGTTTATTCGGCGGCTTCCTGCTATCAGACCGCGTGACCTGCCTGCCGCCTCCTTCAGGTGGCTGAAGATCAGCGCGCGCGCGCGCTCAGACCTGTCCCGTCCTGAGCCCTCATCAAAGATAAACTTCAACATAAACCCACTTCATTCTTCTTCACTCAGCCGCTAACTTCCTGTGGTGTCAAAACACGCGCGCACGCGCCTGCTCCCAGACGGCAGGCCCCCCCTCCCCCCCCCGGACCGGGCTCCGCCTGCCTTCTGATATCAATTGAGCTGAAGTGGGCAAAACAGAGCGCTCTTTTTCAGCGAGGCGCTCCTCGAGGCCCCGGAGCTTGTCGCCATTTTGCCAGCTTCGCTTCCAAGTGAAATCTTTTGGATGCGAGCCGACGCCGAAGCTTCCGGAGCGCAGCCATGAGACAAAATCTGCTTTTTCTTTCTTTCTTTCTTTTTTTATTGTCAAGTGACAAATAAAGAGATTGAAGCAAGCGCACCGCCGTTGCCGATTCCTTTCTTCTTTGGTGGCTCGAAGCTCTTCATGTTTCTTTTGAAATCCGTGCACGTTGGCACCGAAGGTCATCCGTCCATCCGACGGCTTCTTTTGCTTTTGGGTCCCATCCCGAGGTCAACTTGAGCAGACTTTGACCAATGCGGCCACCTTCGGCCCGGGACGCCCGCCCGGGTGGAGACGGACTCCCTGTCGGGGCATCAGCAAGCCACCTGGTCCCAGTAGCCGTCTTGCTCTACCTGCGTGTCCTTCACGTGACCTCGGGATGTTAACATTTCACACACACGCATACACCACAGTGTGTGTGTGTGTGTGTTTCTTTGATGTGAGTCTGTCTTGTTGATGTTGGCATCCCTGTTGAGAGAGGAAGATGAAAAGCGCCATCATGCTGGCGCTGGTTCTGGACGTCTACGTGATGAGACGCTGATGAGACGCTCCGATACGCACTGATGATACGATTACATCCAAAACTGGTCTGGAGGCAAGGGGGCGGAGGGACACACAGGAGTTGTGGCGCACATCGTTCTCGTTCACAAAAACTTTGGGATTCCAAATGTCAAATGATGACAATGATGAAGAAGAAGAAGAGGGCGCCGACGTCAAAGCCGTCCTCAGAAGTACACAAAGTGTGCGCGCGTGGGGGGGGGAGGGGGGGGGGGGGGGGGGGGGGGGGGGATGATTTACTTAACTGAGAAGATTTGCGTGTGAAAAGTCAGTGATGAAGATCAGCAGAGGAGAAGAAGATAAGATAAGAAGATCTTGCTCCAAGGATAGAATTACTGCACAGACACACTTGCGTGTGCGCGCGCCCGTTCGTGCGTGTCCTCCAGGTGGACGTCCTGCCGCACGCCGCTTGACTTGCAACTCAAAACACGTGTGAGTCGAGCCAACGGCGGCGGAGCTTTTTCCTCCCGCTCGCACCTGGCCGCCATCACACCTTGGCTGCCCTCCGGCCGACCTTCGCGACAGTCACCTTCGCCTGGCCTTGAACTCCCTTGAACGCGCGCGCGCGTCTGTGCGTGTTCGCCGATTCTGAGCAGGTGTGAGCAAGGTCAAGACCACGGACTAATGGAGCTTAGTGACAGATACCAAACACTTCCCATCCGCACACATTTATTACGCACGCATTGTTCGTGCGCGCTCACCCACACCCGCACACGCACCCGCACGCGCACGCGCACACATTGTGGTCTTAATGGTTTTTTGCGCATGCACATTCTGGGCCAACCACATTGCTCACATTCACCTTTTTATCATCTGCCAGGTCAAAGACAACACAACCGGAAACCCCTCGTGTGCGTGCGCGCGTGTGCACGTGTGGGCAGGCATAGAGTTCTGAATATGCCTGATCAAAGATGACATCATTTGATGGTGAATAAATATGGCAAAGGACATGTGAGGGTTGTCATGGCGATTGACAGTTTTGCCACTCACAGGAAATGAAAGGAAGTCATGGATCAAGCCGAGCAAAACATGGCATCTGCTTCTATTGAGTCTGAAGACGAAAACGTCACCGCTGCGCTTTTGTCCTCGAGACGAAATGTTGAAAAATGCCCAGTCTGGAAGCAACGCGCTCACGCGGCGGAAGTCCAGGCTAGCGTGCCGCGCAGGTGCGTCCCTTCAACGTGCTAACTTGGCAACAGGCCGGCGTGTCGTGCGGGTTTCTTGCACATGCTAACTCCACTGACGAGGGGTTCCCCCCCCCCCACCTCGCTGTTTCGGTGTTGTTTTTTTTTTTTCCAGTTGCCGCAATCATGAGGGCGTCGTGGCCACAAAGGGAAAGGCAGCCGATGTTTTTCTCGAAATCCGTTTCCGTTCAAAGGTTGGAGCCCAAAAGAAGATGCGCTTTCTTCCGAGCTTCCCGTCGTCGCGGATGTCATTCGCCAGCGTCGACGGGCGGAACGCGTCGGCGCGTCGGCGACGCGTCAGTAGTCGTCGTAGCGGAAGGCGTTGCCGTAGCTATAGCGATAGTCGTAGGCGTCCGCCCGCTCCGTTTTGGTCTGCACCACTTCGGGCTGAAACGAAAGCGACTTGATGACTCCGCCGGACTCCTCCGTCACCTTCACCTCGGCCGAGTACGACGACGACGACGGCTCGTCCAGCGGGGCGGAGCAGCCGGGGAGCCCGGACTGAGCTTTGGGGCACGACTGGTAGGCGGCGCCCTTCGGACACGGCTGATACGACACCTGAGGGGCAGCGGCACAATCAGCGACGTGCCATCGATCGCTCGGCAACTTGAAACGGATCAAATCTACACAGGTCGACAAAGTCGCGTCGGCATCGACGGCGCCGCCGCGTCTCCGTCGACTCTTATAAGGTCCGGGATGTCCGACGTCGAGCGGACGCCGAGAGCGAGGATCGAAGACGGGCCCGCTCAAGTCCGGCCCCGGAGAGCCCCTACGAAACCCGTTTCCGATGCCTCCCTCCTCCAACGCGCCCGATTCAAACGATCGGGATCCTTCTCGGGCTTCCGCAAATGTGGCCGACGAGCCGCTCGTTTGAATCGAGCCCGATGGAGGATGGCGGACGGTGGTCTCGAGGACCGGACTCGGGCGCCCCCGAACAAAGATCCGGCATTAGTTTACGCTCACGTCGACTCGGGACGGATCCAAAAGCGACTCTTGTGGGACGCGGGACAGTTTGACGCATTCCGGACTCGACGCGGATGGACAAATATCAAAGATGCTTCCCGACGTTCTGTTGGAGGCGACTGACTTTGGTGGTGGTGGTGATGATGGTCTGCAGCGCGGCCGGAGAAGCCGGGGGGTTCCCCGGGTAGCGGCAAGGATAGTCCGGGCCGTAGTAATGGTGGTTGTCGCCGTAGGGACCGGAACTCTTCAGGAGATCCTTCCAGCCTGCTTTCGGATCCAAGGAGGACGACGACGACGACGACGACGACGACGAGAGAGGAGCGGACGCCGAGGACGTCGGACCACCGAGGACCGGAGCCACCCTGCAAATGGCGACATCGGGTTTGACGCGTTCACGCCGCCGGGATACGCCGGAACGGGCGTCCGGCTAACCTGGGATCGCAGAATTCCGAGGTGACCGGGTAGGAAGGCGCGGTCAGGTAGCCTTGGAACTCGTACCCGGTTCGACCCACGTAGAGTCTGGGACTGGCCGTCTTCTGCAGGCCGGCGGCGGAAGGCTCTCCCAGCGCGTTGTGGTGGTTGTAGTAGGGTTCCGTACTTTGGAACGCGGGGTAATGCTGAGGGAAACTCGGCTCGAGAAAGGAGATCCGGTCGGCGGGCTCGACGCAGGAGAGCAGGGCGGGGCCGAGAGCCTGGACCCGCCACCGCCGCCGCGACGGCGACAAGCACGATGACAAGAAGAATAAGCGAGGAGACGACAACGACTCGGAGCGCTCGGTCCTCGTCTCGGTCTACCTGGGATTCCACGAGGCGTCGTTTTGGCGCGAAGGGCGGCGAGCTCACTCGTCTTTTGACCGAACTTCTCCTGGCCTCCGTCTCGGACTTGGACTCCGGTCTCGGATGGTCGTGAACCCCTTTGGCCTGAAACGGCGCGGTAAGAGAAGCGCAACCCCAACGGGGAGAGCGGCCAGCTGAAAATCATCACATGGCGTCCCGTTGACGCCGTCGCGACCTCCGCATCGCACGCATCGCAGACCTGGAAGAAGATGGCTTTTCCGTCCACCCTCCAGAAGTTGGTGACGGGGTAGCCGCTGTGCCCTCGACACGGGAGGAGCTCCAGAGTGCCGCCGCAACCGGGACAAACTTTCTCTGGAGCGCAACGACAGGAAAGCGCGGCTTCAACGGGGCTCCCGCGCGCCTCGGGGTCGCCGGACGGACGAGCCTTACTCTGCTGCTTCTGCCGCGCCTTGTCGCAGATGGCGGGCCGCAGCTGCAGTCGGGAGCCGTCGGCGAGCGCGCAGCCTCGGGAGCACACCACCACGCCCAGGCAGGACTTTTTCAGGATCTGACAGTTGTGGTTGTTGGTGTTCCTCATGGCCCAGCCCGACAGGTGGCGCTGCGCGTTCTTGTCCTCGGCTAAAAACAGCGTCACCTTGGCACATTTCGCGCGGCCTCGCGGGATGACATCGCGTTCGCTCGTTTCTCACCGCTGTAGATGAAACGCACGTAACCGTCCGTCCACTCCTGGAACGGGTCGAACTGCTTCGCGTCCTGCAAACAGTCGTTCGGATTTAGCCGGATCGAGAAGGATCTTAGCCGGCCGCCGTCCGTTTCCGAGCGCGCTCGCGCTCGTTCGCCTCGCGGGCCAACCGCGAACGATCCGCCGCTCTCCTCGAGTCGGACGAACTTGACGCCGCTCGCTCCGCTCGTCGCAAACGGAGACGACGGACTGCTCGCCGGTCGGCCGCAAACGCAACAAAAGCATCCACGTTCCATTTTCAACCCCAAGATATTGATCAGTCATGTGCTGTGCGCGTGTGCGCATGTGCGTGCGTGCGCGTGTGTGTGTGTGTGTGTGTGTGTGAAACGCATATCTACGCTTGTTGTTTAAACACTAAAAACTGGTTTTTGTATTTTTGTTCCCAGTGAAACCAAAACACTTGCGTACGCACACACAAACACACGTACACAACCCTCCCAAAAAGCATTTTGTGTGTCAGATGTATTTTAATGAACACTTCATCGAAAATGTATTTCATTGTTGATTGTCATCCTAAATGGATGATTCTGAATTCTGCAATCGTGACGACATGAAGAAGAAGAAGAAGAATGAGAGCAAAACTGTTGGGGAGACAACATGACAATTCTGTCACCGTACAGCGAGAATGCCGATGAGCATTTGCCTCTTCATTTCAAAGCAAAAAGGCAAATGAATTGGGGAATAAAATGCTCACCAGATATTTCAGTCGTTTTTTTTTTTCCTAAGTGAGAGACGCAAGTAAACTTTCCTCGAGTTTTTCGCAGTGATCCGCTCTCAGGTTTTACGAATCATAAGAACATGCAGCTAGTACATATCAATATGGTTGGTTTTCTGAAAGGTCGTAGCTCGAGATGACAACGCATAGCGAAAGCCGTTTTGCGCAAGTTTTTACAGGTCAATCTAAAAAACAAAAATGAAAATATTTCAAAAAGCTCGTGTGCTTGAAAAAAGCGACGACATGAATTAAATTAAAAAAAAAGGCCATCTGTGATTCAACTTTGCTGTTGACCGAGGTTCGCTTCAATATTTTAGTCGTTTGGTGTTTTGAGGGAGAATTTGTTCTTATTTTGACCTCATTGCGGACAAGCGCTGCGTTGTTCTGGTACCACATTTTCGCTCGATCAATCAATAATTGGTAAATGCTAAAAAATGAGAAAGTGACGTCCAATGACCTGAGGCAGTTTGGGGTCGTTGATGTCCCAAGTGGACTTCATGCCGAAGGAGCACACGCAGTCCGCCTCTTGGCGATCCTCGGCTCCAGACATCCTCAAAGCGCTCCTCCCGCTCCCGGTCTCGCTTCTGGTCCTGATCGCGATCCCGCTCCTGCTCCTCCTGTTGCTTTCGGGTGCTCGGTGGAGCGACTTTGGAGCGCGCGACAAGTCCGGACTGCAAAAGTCCTCAAAGATGGTCGAACATTGTTGTCACTGCAAGTCGGCTGGCGATTCACTTGCAACCAAAAAGAAGGTGAAACACTCAACGCGCTCCTGGCTGGGGGAGGGACCTCTGCCCTTGTGTGTGTGTGTGTGTGTGTGTGTGTGTGTGTGTGTGTGTGTGTGTGTGTGTGTGTGTGTGTGAGAGAGAGAGAGAGAGAGAGAGAGAGAGAGAGAGAGAAAGAGAGAGAGAGAGCATGTAGGGATGTTGTGGAAACAAAGAAATGTTTCTCCCAAAACAAACAAGTCATTAGTCATCAATTACAGAAAGTGAGTGTGCGCGTGCGCGCTTGTGTGAAAATGTGTTACAATGTAGCCGTTGGACAGAAATGGTGTAAAGTGAATGAATTTCTCATCCTAAAAGTTCTTGAAACATGTTTGACACACTGACGTCTTCCTGAAATGTGTTCAGCCACTCACACACCCGCACGCACGAACACACACAATCGTCATTCATGCACTCTTGCCTTCAGTGGATGTTTGTCCGCTCCGTAAATGTAGCCTAGGTATGAAATGGATCTTGTGCATCTTAGCATTAGCATCCTCTCAGGAAAATGGATTTGTGCACGTCATTGATATTTTGTCACGTTTTGCGCGGTGGTCGTCGGAGTAGGACCCCAAAAAGCAGGAGGCAGGGAGGAGCAGGGTGGAGTGACCGAAATGTATTTCACAAAAAATACACACGGGAGTACAATGGAAAAAAAAAAAACACGAAGTCGAAGTACTCCCCAAAATGCCGGGAAATCACAAGGAACAAACCAAACTAGGACAGGAAACAAAACATGACAGCGGCACACATTCTGCTCACATACTCGCAGCTCACAATGAGCCAACGAAGAGCGACACAAGTCGGGGAACTCAATACAAGACAAGTGACGAGACGAGACGACGAGAAACACGTGGACAAGACAAAAAGGCTCGAGGGAGCTCATTGGCGAAACACGGGGGGGGGGGGGGGACCGGCAAACAGACATGGACACTGACAACGAGAACAGGTGGGCACAAAAAAGGGCACATGAGTTGACAAATCCAAACGCAAGCAGACAGAAACAGAACATTTGGGACTCATTGCAATCAATCAATCCGCCGTTCGATGGGAAGCGGAAGACTTGGAGCGAGTTCATCCTTTGGTTGCTCACTGAGCCGAAGTCTCACGCGAGGACGTCTTCGGCGAAGAACGCTCGCGTACTCGTCGTGGCGTCACCACGACCGGACTTTGCTCAACCAATCCTAAGAACGAGGGTGACGATCGAAGGGGCGTCGGGAAGAAAGTGGGAGGAGAAGCGTCCGCCAAGCCGGTGAGCGAGGCGAAGATGAATGAAAAGGGCACGAAAAGGGTTGAAGGCGAGCGACGCGTCCGCCCTCCTCCGCCACCGCGCCGTGCGCACGCGCTAACTTGCCGTCGAGGCTCTTGTCAGACCCTTTTGCGGTGGTTCGCTTGCAACGCATCCGTTTTGGGGTTTTTGTTTTTGTTGTTTTTTGCCGTCTTGCGTTTCTGTACTTTGCTGCCGTTTTTTTCAGGCTGTTAAAAGTGGCGCGCACGTTGCGGTGATTGGCGGCGGCCGCGTATAAAGAGCGCCCCCGCACCACAGCAACGACCTCAACGAGCCGCAGCTGCGAGCGCCGCCGACTCGCCGTCATGGTACGAAGCGACACGGTTCCGTTCCCTCGCCTTCGAATCCTCGTTGTCGCAATTCTTTTCGCCTTCCGCGTTCCGACTCGTTTGCGCGTTTCGACGCGACGGTGCCGTCAAAGGCGTCCGGAGCGACGTCGCGAATTCATGAAGCGACGTCGCTTTGCTTTCAAATGACCCGCGTCCATCCTGGTCTTCGGCAACTGCCAATCCGAGTCGGACCGAGCTTGGCGAGCCTTTTGCTCGACTCTTAATCGGGTTTTTCTGCTTTTCTGCTTCGTTTTGGGCGAGTGCGCGTCAAAGCACTCGGGGAAAGTGAGGGCTTGAGCGCCGTCTGGTGGTGCGTGTGAGCAAGACAAGTGGAAATAACCGTCTCCAAAGATGCATCCGCGATGGTCACGTGTTTTTCATATTCCCCCCCATCAAATCTTAGTCATTTTCATGACTCGGCATTTGTGAATTTTCAGTTCTGCGCGTGAATTGTCCAACGCGCATTTGCGGGTCAGCGGACGGACGCGCGCGTTTCTTTTGGGCGCAAACAACAAGCCGTTTCCAATCGGCGTCGCGGTCGCGTGCCGTCGCCGCGGAACCAAATGAGCGGTCCGAAATATGTGTCAGATGGAGATGGAAATGGAGGCGTGCCTGTCTCGTGGAGACTCGTCTCGATTGGCTCGCGTGCTTCGTGACGAAGGCGTGAGCGGGAGCACGCTCGCCCAACTGGGCCAGCTGGTCCGCAAGGTATCGGCCGCGCCCGCCCCATGCGCCCCCGTATCATCATCATCCTCATCCTCCTCACCTTCCGTGACGCGCAGCAGCTGAGCTTGGCCGACTTCGGACGAGTGGACGTGGTCTTGAAGTCTTTGGAGATTCTGGCGGAGGACAGAGACCTCAACGAGACCCTGGTCGGTCTCGGAATCGCACACCAAGTAAATGTGATGTCTTCTCCGTCCGGTGAACGGCCCGCGCCCCATCGGCGAACGCGACGTCATGATGCGGTGACGGTTTGGGCCAGGTGGTGTCTTGGTTCCAAACGTTGCGCCAACTCTTGACCTCCCGAGCCCCGAGGAGCTCGGCTCAGCTGCGGCCCATCGAAAGCTTCTACGACTTCCTTCTGGTGAGCGGCACGACGGGCGCGTCGGGGCCCGCCTGCGTTTCCGAGACCGCGCCTTTTACGCCGCCTGTCTTTCAGGTGCTGAGCCGCTCGCATCTCCCAGGTTGGTCGCGCGAGAGTTTCCGCCATATGGAGTCGCGCGGGACGTCTGATCTGTGGCCGTCTGTCCGTGTGCTAGCCTTAGAGCTGTCTTTGACCCTTTTGGAACTTCTGCTCACGCTCCTGGAATCGCAACTGCACTTCGGTGTCAGACTCGAGGTAACGGTGGATTATTACGAGCGGTATATTGTTTTTGTCGTCGTCGTTTGCGTTTGTGGCGGTCAGGCGGTGAGAACGTTCAACAGCATCCTGGATTGCCTGAGCCGAGATCAGAGGAGGCGCGTCCAATCGGAGCGGATGCTCCTGCAGACCATGTGAGTGCTTTGACGTTCTCCAGCTTGCCGCGAGTACGCGCGGACTCATCCGGTTGACGTCGGGCGCGTCCGCAGGCCGGAGGTGGCGGCGACCATTCAGACGGTCGGAGGTGAGTGGGGCGAGCCGTCACAAATCCAGAGAGGCCGACCGCGGGTCTGACGAACGACTGCGTTTTGTTCCGCACCGCTGTGGCTGCGGCGGAGATGGAGTCCGGCGGCAGTACCAAACGGGAATCCCGTTTGTTTGCTGGGATCCTTTGTGATCCCCGCGACGCCCCGCCACGCCACGCCCGTTGACGTGTGCGCTTGTGTTGCAGACTACGAGCTGCAGGTCAGCCTGTCGGAGGCTTTGTGTCGTCTGACTCCCAGGAAGGAGCGAGCCCAGCAAGCCAGTCGGTGGTTCTCCTGCTCCGACGTCGCCGACGCCTTCTCTCGCATCAAAGACACGGACTTTGAGGTGGTCAGTGTCGAAGCGCTCTCTCGGCCCCTGTGACGTCCGCGTCCGGGGTTCCCCACGTGCGCTTTTCCTTCGATGAGAAGGAAAAGCGCACGTGTGGCCTTGCGAGGCTCTTTGGCGATGAAGGGCAACGTGAATTTGAACAGGAACATGTCCGATCTTTTTCCGACCCGTTCGTCCATCTCTCTCTCTCTCTCGTCTGCGCGCGCCCGACCTGCGCGACTGCAAGGATTGTCGACGTTTCCTCAACTTCCTGAACAATCGTCAAGGTGACGTGAGAAGGTGAGAAACCAAGCCGTCGTCTGCGGGTGTTTGCTTTCCGCTTTGTTTGGCTGACACGGGGGTGCTTTGCGTGTCAGGGTCTGGACCTTCCCGTGCATCAGAGCCTTCTTGGAGACCACAGAGGTTGAAAGCAGACGTGACGTGGCTCAGGCAGGCGTCGTTTGGTCTCCTGTGTTCACGCCTCCTCCTCCTCTCCCTCCTCAGCTCTTCCGCCCCTCGGATGACAAACTGGACGAGTTCTGGGTCGACTTCAACTTTGGATCGCGATGCATCAGCTTTTTCATTGACCTTCCTCAGGTAGTCGCGAGCCGCGCGACCGCTCGGGCGCACGGCGTATTGCGCCCATGCGCGCGCTTGGGACTTGTTGCAGGGCTTCCTGTGGGGTTCCGTGCACCTGCTCAAGGAAGAGGTGGAGCGCTTCCAGCTCGAGGTCCAGCCGGACGGTGCGTCTCCAGACCGGCAACGTTCGCCGTCACCGGCCCGGGTTCTCCTCGGGAAGGTTTTGTCCGAGGCCCGTTCGCCTCGCAGCCTTTTCTTTCCCAGAAGGCGGCGCGGCTCGGGCGGTGCTCGGCGTCCACCTGAGCGTTCCCATCACGCACCTGAGTCGCAAAGGCCGCCGAGTCAGGCTGCTCTTCCGGCCGGAGCTGCTCGGAGAGCTAGAGGCGGCGGCCGCGAGGGTCTTCGGGGGAGACGACGACGCCGCGTCATTGCCGTCGCAGGTAGCCGCCCAAACGCCGACTAAGCTCCGAGTGATGATCCGGGGACTGGTTTGGGGAGGGTTGGGACATGTCTCCGGATTGGAAGCGGCTCGCGATTCGCAGGGCCGACGGGCCAATGAGCACCGGCGTGCGACTCGCTTCGTCGAGGTCGCGACTCGACGCGCTCGGAGTTTCGTCGGGCTTCCGCCTCGCCCTGCTTTTTGCCGCACAAAATCCCGACTTTCCTCCCAATGGAAGATTTAGGCCTTGCGACGGGCACATACTGTACGAGGAGCGTGACTTGTGACCGCGGTCTCGGTCGCTCGGCGGTACCGCGCCGCCGAGCGGACTCCGTTCGCTGCGACTTTTGCCCCCTCCGCCCCGCCGAGCGGCCGGCTCATTGCCTTGTCCGAGCAGGAGCCGGAGAAAGACTCGGCCGGCGGAGTCCGCGCCTCCCCCTCCGCCGCGAGGCCACTCGGTAGAACCTACAGGAAGAAGCCACGCGCTCAGCTGAAAGGTAAGTCCTTTCAAAATCAACCTCCTCTGCGATGGCCACCGATCGGCATCCCACCCAGTGCGTTTTGCGCAGTTCTTCCGCTCTCGTCCCCGAGCGGCGATGACGAGGCCTCGCTTCCCAAGGTAACGGTTTGATGGCATTGGAATGACGAGCGCCGACGGATGGCTTGGCCGCCGTTGAAGAAAAAGATCACCGAGTGAATGCGGTGGCAGCTCGCATTCGCAGACCCCGCTGTCCTTTTTGTGGATGATGCTTGATCCCTTCACAGACTTGTCGAAGCACAGCGGCGATGGCCTTTGATCAAGTCGTCCACTCGACGCCGTCAAAAGCATCCGGTGAGAGCCTTGGAGAACGAAGCGGCGGTCGGGAGGGAGGCACTTGAAGAGCTAAGCTTTTGGATGTTTTCAGAAGAATTGCGCTTTCCGGCTGTTGGCGCGGGGCCGCGGCTTCGAGTCCTTCAGGAAGAAAATGTGGACATCTCTCCGATGGTGCTTTTGAAATATGAAGCCTATTCTTTTTTTTTTCTTTTCCCGCCGATCAAATCAACATGGCAGACGGCTCAACTCTTTTTACTTTTCGATGTTTGCTTGCAGGAAGCGTCCCGCTTGAATCAGAAGCGAGCGGCTCCGTATTCAGGTCTTGAACTCTCCATTCCCCCTTGGGTCTCTCGTTGTATTCGCAAGTGGTGGCCTCATTCAGGATTTGAAGGGCGAGGGCGCACGACAAAGTTGCGGTTGCGGCACCGCTCCGGCCGGTGGAGTACAAGTTGCATTTTGTTTTCCACGCGCCGTCGCGCAGCATCAATTGTCACTTTTGTTTGGACCCGAGTACGGTTTGACGTCTTTCGTGGACATTCCAGATAAGCTGTGTACATTTTGAAGGAACGATGATCAGTGTTAATGATGATTCTCTTGTGCTCGGGGAAGGTGACCTGTCTGACGAATATGATGCGATGGAGAAGCCTGTAGGCGTTCAACCGGCGGGGTCTCAACCTGGCAGGCGTGAGCCTCAGGGGGTGGAACCTGCAGGTACACCTTGGGATGATGTATGTGTCGGTTTCCTGGAAACACGGTTGGCTGGGGTACGGGGGGGGGGGGCCAATGCCACCATAGAGCATCGCGTGCAGTCGTGCCCTCAGTGCTCCCGCTTGTATTTCACAAGTCTGTCAAACTCTTTGTCGTCCAGGGACACATCATAGTTGGGCTTTCCATTAGCCAACCAGAGACTGTGCAGCCCACCTCATCAGACTATCGCCTATCAAATTGTCCCTGCATTTAGGTCCTTTTTTTTTTGCCAAAGTTTGGAATGACAAGTCATGGGAAATAATAAGACAGAAAGAGTCCCCCCACCACCACCAAATGGAAATGTGAGTAGCACCAACAGGGTGCGAAATAGTTTTTGTCATTCAGCAGACCTGAGCCCACTTTGACTTGATTTTTGTGGGATTGGCTATGTTGAGACGCCACAGCTGCCTGAACGCAAAGAGCGCGTGTGACCGAATTGAGGGCCATGCGGAGCACAACCACTTTGGCATCCTAAGTCACACGGAAGATGTTATTTCCTCTTATTCCCATTGACACGAGTGGCGTTCAACATTTGATGTAATCCTGTCCGGGCTTGAGGGACCTGCCGCTAGCTCAAAAATGCTCACTCTCAATCTGATTGTCATGGGGGGGGCCGGGCTGTTAAAGGGGCATTACCCAAGGAGCCATCTGAGGAGGCGGTGGAGCCACATGACATTGAAAAGCCATCCTTGAAAGGGGAGGAAGCTGTCAACCCGCTGGGGGCGGAGCAACGGATTGACGCGACCGCTAGCATCCAAAACGCTTTTGACGTCTTCAAAAGAAACCTCGAACAGCATTACAAGGTCAGCCTTTTTTGACGACTTCATCGATTCGATTCATCTGTCCGATTTCTGATCGGCTCTTGACAAAACAGGACTGCTGGCTGAAAGTCCAAGCACAAATTCACTCGTCGCCCAAAGAATATCAGCAGCACATCATCTCGCTCTTCGATGACATCGGCCAACACCGGTACCAACGCCACGCCAAGCGCCTCGCCCTCCCCCCTTCTCCTCCCTCCCTCCCATAACATCTCCCCATCGACACTGGTACAGACCACAGTACACCTGGGGTGGGTGTGTGTGTGTGTGTGTGTGTGTGTGTGTGTGTGTGCATGTGTGTGTGTGTGTGTGTGTGTGTG